ATGCAGAAAGGCGGCTCGGGTGCTGGGCGGCTCGGCTGCTGGGCGGCTCGTGCGCAGGGCGGCTCGGCTCCCGGGCTGCTCGGCGGCTGGGCGGCTCGGGTGCAGGGCGGCTCGGCTCCCGGGCGGCTCGGCGGCAGGGCGGCTCGGGTCCCGGGCGGCTCGGCGTCGGGCGGCTCGGCTCACGGGCGGTTCGGCTGCTGAGGCGGCTCGGCCAGGAGATGCAGGGGCGGGGCCGTCAGGTGCAGCGGCGGGTTGACCGGTGCAGTGGCGGGCCGGCAGGTGCAGCGGCGGGCCGGCAGGTGCAGTGGCGGGCCGGCAGGTGCAGCGGCGGGCCGGCAGGTGCAGGCGGCGGGCCGTAGGGTGCAGTGGCGGGCCGTAGGGTGCAGTGGCGGGCCGGCAGGTGCAGCAGCGAGGCCGGCAGGTGCAGCGGCGAGGCCGTCAGAGGCGGCAGGCCGCTGGGTGCAGCGGCGGGCCGGCAGGTGCAGTGGCGGGCCGGCAGGAGAGGCGGCGGAGCCGCGTCAGGGGAGGCAGTAGGGCCGCGTCAGGGGAGGCGGCGGAGCCGCGTCAGGGGAGGCGGCGGTGCCGCGTCAGGGGAGGCGGGGGAGCCGCGTCAGGGGAGGCGGCAGGGCCGCGTCAGGGGAGGCGGCGGGGCCGCGTCAGACAGGCGGCGGGGCCGCGTCAGGAGAGGCGGCGGAGCCGCGTCAGGGGAGGCGGCGGGGCCGCGTCAGGGGAGGCGGCGGAGCCGCGTCAGGGTAGGCGGCGGGGCCGCGTCAAACAGGCGGCGGGGCCGCGATCAGGAGAGGTGGCGGGGCCGCGTCTGAGGGACAGCGGGGCCGCGAGGGAAAAGGCGACCCGAGGGGGTCGCTAAAAAAAAGGCGCGCCTCGGGGCGCGCTTCGGTGGGCCCTAAAAAAACGGTCCTAAGGTAGGACCCGCTCTATACCATGTGAAGTAAAGAAAACAGGAATGAAATGACTAAGGAAAGATTGGGTACAAATACAACTCTAGAAACCCTGTACCCCATATGTGCTACCCCACTATAGCCTACAGCAACTATGTCATATAAATCTGACAATTCGCAGCAGCCAAGGGAGTCTATTACGTAAAAGCTGGAACCGACCGCATCTGGGTACCAGGGTACACGCTACTATAGTAACTACTGTTACAGGAGGCACACGACGGAGTTACCTCGGGACATTTCGGAGTAGAGAAAACACGGCAGCAGCTGCAGCGGTACTATTACTGGCCTGAGATGTTGACCGACGTGCAACGACACGTGGCATCGTGCCCCACTTGCCAGCTCATGAAGTCAACCAGAAAGCGGCCGGCGGGACAATTACAACCAATCCCACCTCCAGAGCGTGCTTGGCAGCAGGTGACGATGGACTTCGTCACGGGGTTACCGGCTGGGGCGAGTGGGAATGACGCGATCCTGGTCGTCGTCGATCGACTGACGAAAATGGCACACTTCGCAGCCTGCAGGAAATCAATCACAGCCGAGGAAACAGCCCGCCTCTTCATCACCACCGTCGTTCGACTGCACGGGATACCAGTGTCGATCATCAGTGACAGGGACACGAAGTTTACCAGCAACTTCTGGCGGAACCTGTGGCAGCAGTTCGGCACGCGACTACAGTTCAGTTCATCATATCACCCCGAAACCGACGGACAGACAGAACGGACAAACCAGACCATGGAGCAGCTCATTCGAGCCACGTGCGACGATCCAAACACGTGGGAGCAGCAGCTGCCACTCATCGAGTTCGCATACAACAACGCGCCATCTGCCACGACCCAACAGTCACCATTTTACTTGAATTACGGACAGGACCCAACAGTACCCATGACCCCAAACCCCGACAATCCCGTTCCACGGGCACAACAGTTTGCCGAGATTTTGCAAGCAGCACGGACCAGGGCAGCAGAAGCAATAAAAAAATCAAATATCATCGCTAAACGCAACGCCGATCGCCACCGCCGGCCCGTCACTTATCAGCCCGACGACCTCGTTTTGCTCGACACTCAGAACCTCCGCCTGCCCATCACTCCCAAACTCCGCCCTCGATACTGTGGGCCATTTCGAATTAGCCACATGATCACACCTGTCACCGCGCACCTCCTCCTCCCCGCTGACTGGTACGTCAGCCCCTCGTTCCACGTCAGCCTACTCCGCCCTTACGTACCATCCACTAGCCAACTCCCACGACATCGACCATCCAGCATGGCACGACCGCCAACCGAACCGATCATCACCCCCGACAAAATTTTGAGCCACAGAGTTCGCGACCCTCGAGGAGTCCGAAAAGTCGAGTTCCTGATCCGCTGGAAAGACCGTACACCCACCGAGGACAACTGGGTTCCCCTGGACAGAATTGAAAACCACCCTATCTTCACCAAATATCTGCGCAGCCGAAACTTCAAAGACGTCCATGCGCTTTCGTAAGGAGGACCTCCTTAGGAGGGGGGGGTAGTGTAAGGAAAATCCCTTTTCCTTACTTCGCATCCCTGCTCAACGCGTACCTCACTGTAGCACCTCAGTCAGCACCGTTACCACTCGCGACCATCGCATCAATAATCATCCCGCCATTTTCGCACATCGCATCCCGACCTCACGGCTCGGCTGGTAACCCGCGCTCCGGGCCTACGCTTCGACACTTTCCCAAACCTCAGTCCCAGGCTCGTCGCGCGACTACCACAGACCATTACCGTTACCACTGTAGTTTCGCTATATATTCTTCGCTCATGCCTTCGCTCATTGTATTCTTGCTTCGATAGTGCAATTCTCGTTCGCTCACTCAATTGCACTCGTAACAGTTAGTAAAGGTTGTTTACACGCGGTCACAATAGGGAAGACCTTAAAAAGAAATAATGTAATATTTGAAGTCCACTTTATACAACTTCACACCACATTGATGGCCAGACTAAACAAAGCCCGATACCCCGCATTCCAATCTGAACACATGTATTTTCCTCTGCAGACTTTATTAGTTTCAAGCACCGTACACACGAAACGCAGCCAGAACCTGTCCGCGGCAAATGAGGCACAGCGACTGCTCCACTCTCACAACCCGCGAACACGACAGACAGCACACGTGGTGGCCACATGGAATGAACATGGCCTTGCGCTTTCAATGTAGCACACCACACAGAGCTCACCACTCTGCACCTCCTTCCCCACCACCTCCTCTCCCGCCACCATCCCAACACAACACGTGTAAGCACTGCATAGTTCAGGCATCATACACACGAAAGGCAGCCAGAACCTGCCCGCGGCATATGGGGCGCAGCGACCGCCCCTCCTGAACCATACTTGAACACGACAGACAACACACGCGGTGGCCGCACGGAATAAACACAGCCTTGCGCTTGCGATGCAGACACACCACACAGAGCTCCCCACTCTGCACCTCCTCTTCCCCGCCCACCTCATCTGCATCCCCGCTGCAACTCAGATTTTTCAAACTCCTCTCTAGCTCCAAGGTTGAGGCTACTAGTGCCCCCACTCGCAAGGCGTGCATCAAACCACCTCGTGCTCCTGCTCCTTCTTCCGCTCCTGCTCCTCCTTCCGCTCCTGCTCCTGCTCCTGCTCCTGCTCCTGCTCCTGCTCGTGCTCCTGTTCCTGCTCCTGCCGCTTCTGCTCCTGTTCCTGGTGCTGCTCTTGCTGCTACCCCTACTCCTGTTACTCCTGCTCCTGCTGCTGCTCCTGCTCCTGCCCATACTCCTGTTACTGCTGCTGCTCCTGCCTCTGCTACTGCTACTGCCCCTAATCCTGTTACTGCTCTTGCTCCTGCTCCTGCAACTGCTCCTGCTACTGCTCCTGCTACTGCTACTGCTCCTACTGCTGCTACCCGTACTGCTCCTGCTACTGCTACTGCTCCTGCTACTGCTACTGCTCCTGCTACTGTTAGTGCTCCTCCCGCTACTGCTAGTGCTCCTTCTACTGCTACTGCTCCTGCTGCTGCTACTGCTCCTGCTACTGCTATTGGTCCTGCTAGTACTGCTAATGCTCCTGCTACTGCTACTGCTCGTGCTACTGCTCCTTTTCCTGCAGGCGGCGGCGGCGGCGGCGCGCTAGTAGAAGCACTGCCGTCTGAGGCGCCGGTATTCCCGACTCTACTAGATTGAGGCATTGGCGCGGAACGACGATGGGACAGGTCTTCGAATTCTCGTTTCGTCGAGCGGATTTGGTGGAGATTTCAGATCGTTCCCTCATACAACGATTTTGACAATGGGGACTGATCTGGTGGAGTTCTCAGGAACCGCTCATGGAGAATTGGCGTGGGATGACGATGATGCAACAGGAGCGTCGTCTCTTCCACGCGTGTGAGACATCTTTGAGTCCTCTGTGCTGTGATGACTCGTATGCGACAGGAGTGTGTGTGCCTCTGTGAGAAATTGTGTGCACACGGGCCTCTTGTCCTTGTCGACACCGACTGGAGGACCTGAGAGGACTTCAAAGTGGATGGGACGGGAAATCACCGTGGATGGGACGGGAAATCACCGTGGATGGGACGGGAAATCACCGTGGATGCGTCACAAAGAAATTGGCCCTTCACAGGGGCCACAATCGTACCTATGCCCGGGTCTGCTAGGGGGAGCCATATCAGACGTATGCCACAGCAATCCCAAAGCAATGTCAGCGTGTGGGCCGCATTTTACAAAGCATTGCATGTTGGTGCAGTTGAAGCGGAAGCCTTGTTTTAGGGTGTCTTCACGTAATATGATTGTATAATACATATAGGGCATTGGCATTGGTACGATTGTGCCCACACATCAAACACAAGTGCTGCCATTCTGTTCAACTACTAATAAAGGACCTGCCTAGGCATTGGCAGGATCTATCATAATAGGAAATACACGAGACGTCACACCGAGGAGAAGCAAACGCGCTGCAGTTTCACGAGTGGCACGGGATCTGGGCTGCGCACCGTTGTGAGCTGCATACGTCCGGCCTGGCCACTGCTGTGGTGATTGTGGGCGCACCCCCCATTGTGACTCCGTTCTAGGTGATTTCCTGGTTCACCAGATATGCCCACTTGTTCAGGAACCAGGTGTCCTTCTGCTCGAATGAAGGGACGCAGTGGACAGCTCGCTGGAGCCGGTCGATGGGGACGACAGCCAGCCCCCGAAACAGGGAGGGCGGCGCAAGCACCTGGCAGCCCGTGCACTCATCGAGCCCCTGTTGGTTCAGCCGCTGCAGCACAGCCACCTCTGCATGCTCGTAGCTGCAATCGTCCAGCGGCCTCTCTGCATCCAGCAGCAGGATCAGACGCCCGTACGTGGTACGGCCAGCAGAAGACAGGTACTCCACGCAGGAGAACGCTGTGTGGCCGTGCAGCGACGCCGCCGCACGGGCGTAGTGGGGCCGGATGTGCCCGTAATCGGTGGGGAATGCCGGCAGCGCGACCGCCGTGTGCGCCTGTTGTGTTTGGGTGCACATGAGCAAGCAGGAGCAACAGCTTGCGGGCGGGCAAAGAGGGTGGGGGGGGGGAGGGGTTGCTGCTGGCGGGACCGTAGTGAGGAGCTGAGGGTCGGGCTTGCTACAAACGTGCACGGGTGTTGTGCTGGAAGGATTGGTACTTCGTGTGAATAGCGCACAGCCCATGCGTGCGTTGCGTGTATGGTAAGGGGCACGTACCCACGCCGGAAACGGCCGCAGGCCGGCGTTGCGCATCACGGTGTCGTAGTGGAACAGGAGCCCCCCCACGGCGATGTTGACATCGTCGAAGACGGACGCCGCGCTGCTCTCGTGGTCAGGCCGCGCAGTGAGAGACCTCCGCGCGAGCGTCAGCTGGGGGGTGCCCGTTGCGATCGCCTGTGTAGGGTTGCAACAGCGCATAGGGACAGCCCATGGCGGTTAGTCACAAGGATCAACGTGGCGCACCAAGTGACCAATACTAGCGTAACTCACCCGGGTCAGCGCGGTCTGGTTGCGCCTGCGTGCTGGCAGAGCGGAGGTCAGCTGCCCCATCGCCAAAGCGCGCACGTTGCGTGCGGCGATGGCCTGCAGAGACTGGCGGTGGTTCGAGGTCCTATACGGCAGCTTGCACGTGCGGATGTGGGCGTTCTCGTACACGGCCGCAGAGAACTCAGGTGGGAGTCCACCTCTCCTGACTCCGTCAGGCACGTGCGTGAGGAGGTGGACCTTTATCAGGTCCCACCCGTCCCCCTCGCGTGGGAACACATCCTCGACCGTCTGAATCATCCTGCATACACAAGCACCCTCACGTCAGAATGACCTGCGTCCTACGGCATCGCAAGGCAAACGGGACAGCCCTGGGTTCACCTCTTTGTGGCTTCTTCAAAGTCCCCGAGAGACGTATCCGAGTGACACGGAGCTCTCACGTGGGTCTCGTGCCACTGGAGCACCGTGACCAGCGCCAGCCTGGACACGACGTCCACCTCGCCCTCTATCGCAAACGGCGCAAGCTGAGAGGGTGCGGGGGGAAAGGTCAGACCCGCATAACACGCGTAAACATGGACCGCCCAACTGGTGAGCGAGCCGTAACAGCATGTGGTGAGTTTAGACTCACCTTCATCGCTGACGCATGCTCGCTGGCTGTGAAGTTGGCGCCGCTGGCCCAGTAGCTGCCGGACCCTGGAGAGCGCAGGCCAGCAAGGCGAGCGTCGGGGTACATCTTCTCCATGCGCCTGCCATGGTATCGTCCCCAGCAAAAGCACTCACCGGTTGTCAGTAACAAAACCGAGATTGACAGGGCTTCGAAAGCCTGTTCCCCCAGGCTACTTACTCATCCTTATGCCTGGCGCTCGTGGCGGTGCCACGCAGGACGCTTCGAATGTACAGCCAGAAGCCGATGTAGATCGCGTGCAGAATGTCGGGCATCTGAGAGAGGTACGTGTTGCCCCACACGGTGCGACTGAAGTTGAAATCCCACAGGAAGCTCTGGCACGTATATACAGGGTTGGGGATTAGGGTTTAATCCTAAAATCCAAACCCAGTATTGGGTGAACACCGTGATGCAATAAACAAAATACACGCAGGGCCGAAGGCGAAGCTTGTGTTACCGGGATAGGCCAGGTCGAGTGCTTCTTCGCCTCGTTGAGGTCGCGCAGCAGAGCTTCCTGATCGCGCACGGTTCGGGTCTGGGCTGGTTCGCGGTCCATGTCGCGAAGATCGTCCCGGGCCACGCAGCACAGTGAGCAGGGCATCGCAGAGCCGAGCTATTGCGTGCACGAGACCTTGCAGGTTTCGGGATAGTCAGCCACGTAAGAAAATAGCAAGGGTAGGAAGAAGCGTTCCTCTCCGGTCGGGTCCTTGGCTGACAGTCCACTGCACAGAAAGGTGTGGGAACGTCACTCAGGTACGAAACACACTCTCTCAGAGCCGCATGCAGGGTCTATGGGGGCTAGCGGTCCTCAAAGTACAGACATTTACTTACACATGGCTGGCGACAATAAGGTCTGCGAGCACGATTTTCATGGCAGCCTGGAACAGCTCCACCTTCTGCGCGGGAGTCATGGTGGCCGGGGGAAACGGGAGCATAGCCAGGAGAAGCTTCCCGCAGTCCATCCACCGCCTCCGAAGCGGGATGTTTGCGATGGATAGGTACACCGCCCACACTCTCAGAATGGTGGCGTCGCTGGAGATGATCAGAGGAACAACCACAGCGCCGGCTCCATACTCTAACTCGGCCGCCACTTGAGCGTGCTCCCAGAAAGATGCGGTTTCGGGCGTTGTGTAGACCCGCCCGGCCGCACTGTTCACCTGTCGCGGTCGCAGCACGAACCCTTCCGCGTTCTCTGGGTTCCCGAGAATCTCGATCAACGCCTGCGAGCATCCACCATCGCCGTCAGCGCATCAGCGGTGCAACTAGACAGCATCAAACCTCGTGTTGCCTGCCACTCTATGGCGGCCGGCAACATGAAAGCTTACCTCTCTTCCGTTTGCACGTATCACTTGGAACTCGCCTTCCCACCCCGGAATGGTGAACGTGATGGTGTCGTACTGGCGTTGCGACATGAGCAGGGACATGCCGAACCGTATGACCGCATAGAGAGTGCGCCAGTGCCGAGTCAGCTCCAGGTCGAGACGCTCGTCTCGCAGCAGGTTGAGGAGCCACACCGTGCTTTCGTTGGAAAGTCCAGCACCATTGTTGCAGCCCACGATGAAGCGAAACACCTCCATGAGGGTGTTGAAGTTCTCACAGGGATGGAACGTGCACTCCGGAGCACTGTCGTCGTCATCAAGTTCCGCGGCGGCGTCCCCTTCTTCGTCCGATGAAGCATTTTCCTCTTCGTCCGACTCGACGTCCTCGTCGTCCGTGTCTTGAAAACAAGGACATGGATGGAGATACATCCTGGGTACAAACGCCAATATTTCACAGCATGCATGCGCAAACACGGCACAGTATGCGCTAACCTGAGCAGTTTCATCATCCCGCACCTCGAAATCGTCGTCTGAGTTAAGCTCGGGCATCTCATCGTCAGTCCGCTGCGCAGGGTCTGGGTCGCCGGCCGCACCACCGGCAGCCGCGCCATAGCCAGCCGTTGACGTTAGGAATCGCGAGGCATGGATGATGCAGGCCTCCTTTCGACGCTTATGAGAAAACAAGGCATTGCGAGATCGGAAGCGACGCCTACACCACTCGCAGGAGTACAAGGCAGATAGCCGGGGCATTTGAAACCCTAGCTGGTTGGTAGCATGCCGATACCAGAAGGCGTTGTTGGAGTGTATGTGCCCTTGGTGAGACAGAACCATGTTCTTCTAACGCGTGCATAACCAGGTTTAATATATTTGTGATGTCTAGCGCTGGATGGCTGTGATACGGCTGGTACGATCGAAGCGGAGTGTAACAATGATCTTAGGCCGATGTTATCGAAACGAATCACAAGCGTGTGCCAATCTCGCGAGGTATTGGTCACCGGAGTTTCCAACCAGGACGGGGGGCCGTACTCTGTTGGATTCCACGAGGCGACATGACAACGATTGGTCGTAATTGGGATGATGCGGATCTCCCCACCTCACTCCAGCTAATGGGAGCGTCACAATGACACGGATAGCATGGCCAAACAGGCTGACATGGATAGGGGTGTGAGCGAGAGTTGCGAATAACGCAGTTCGCCAGCCGTTACTATGCTCGTGCTTCCTAGTGAGTTTGGCACTCTCGCCAAACATCCAAGCCGCAATGTCACCAAGTCATGGGCTTCGCATTCACCAAATCTTTCAATGTCTCCCAATTTCCCCTATCACTCGCAGAAATTGTCAGTCTCAACATGGCGTCCGAGATTCCTAAACGCCCCGACACTGGAACACGTGGTTGGCGCTGCGCGCGTGATGGCTGCCGGCGATACGAATCAACCAGATATGCCGGTCCCAGTTGGCCCAGAGAGCGGAACTGTCTCACCCGCCCGCCTTCTGTGTCAGTCCTGGTTCGGGACTTTCCGGATATTGCTGCGGTTCTGATGCAAGCAGAATACACGCACATCATCGACAACGCTGACGTGCCGTCGCCGCGTAAGCTCGTGAACTGCGCCATGCATCTGGTGCCGTCCCGTCATACCCGCGCTCCTACACAGAGGGGAGAAGCCACAGAGGCTCTGCGGGCTGCAAGGGGCGGCGGCCGCGGCGTTGAGCTATCATTCATCGACACGTCATGTATATGCGCCGTGTTGCGCGATGCTCGGGACACTGCAGACATCCACGCGCAAGCGGATGCGTTCCTGAAAGTGATTCGCCGCGGTCACAGGAGGGTTAATTACAGCGCAAAAGGCCTGCACGATCTGGAGGCGGCAAGGCCTCCTGTGCATGATTATCAAACCTATCTCATGCACTTCGCTATGAGCGAAGGGTGGGTGGTGCGTATCAGATCACGCCCTTTAAAGCACCATATGATGATCGCGCCTGACTCACCCTTTTGCCACTGTGCGCAGCTCGAGCATGGACGGTACAACTTCTATCGCGCAGAGGACGCGAGGCGCGTCTACAGAGATTTCAAGATAAAGCAGCCAAAGCTATACCAATTCCGTCAGTTCTCGCATGTGGGCGGCTCGGACGGCATTGGCGCAGGCATTTTAGCACACGCACTCGGCATGCTTGCTTGGTGGGAGATTCCCGCCAAAGATAGGTTGTTGTGGGGGGGGAACATGGGGAAGAACATTTGCGTGTACCCGTGGGACAGGCCGGCCGGTGCTACAGAGCTGCCCTTGTATCGGCTAGTATGTCAGGACTACGATCTGAATCGTCCTGATGACTTACTGCCAGACTTTTTCCTTTGACATGTGGTTGGCATAAGCCCAATTAAGGGTCTTGGATGCATGATTTATATGGATAAGAGCTGGGTGTCGTGTTTATTGCTCCTACAAGTCCCATAATTTCTCGAACATGGCTATTTCACATGCAGAGCAAACAACGCTCGAGGGTTTAGCCTCGGCGGCACAACAAGGGAAACAGCACACACGACAATGTTCGCCTATTTCGCTTTGCCAATGGAACCGCACCTTCCCGATAGGGTCTGCCGGATTGGCTGTTGAACCGACCAAGTAGCTGGGCGGCGAGTTGTGGCCCCTGCTGACGCGTCCAAAAAGGGATGCATCACACGCGTGTGGGCGTCGCGCTGTGTTTTCCCGCGCGATCTCCTAACCACCCTGGTGACGCATCTGGGTGACATCGCTGCGTCTGCATGCAGGCAACTATCCGCGCTGTCACAGATATTCTCACCTGGCGTCAATAATAGTCTGTGTAGGCATGGGAGGGCATTCCCATTGGTGCTCAAGGATATTTCGCCGCGATGACGCTGCCAGATAGGCGCCCGCTCCCAGCTTGCCACCTTATCCGTGGGCCGCACCTGCCAGAGAGCGAGTTTTATATCACTCCACCATTGTACCGGACTGCCATAAGTCGCGGTACCACTACTATTCCTACCGAGCACAGCTAAACATGCAGCCAGCACCGTCTCCGTACTCACCGCTCAGGCGCTCTGGCAGGAGCAATGCCGGAGTGCGGAACTCCAGTGACGACATGGTTTACTTTGGCCGTGGAACGTCGTCGCCTCGCGTCGACGGACGTCAGGGTCGCGGGCCGTCAACCTCCGAAGACACGACGCCTGTCAACGCGCCGAATGCAGACACGGACACCGAGTATCTCCCGTGGGCGGATCACCAGGACGACCGCCTAGACGTGGAGGACGGTGACGGCGTCGAGGATACCTGGATGCCCGAAGAGGAAGAAGTCGACGAGGATGTGGAAGGTACCTACATCATTATTTTCGAAGTCTAGTGCATATGTGTTTGCTTTGTGTTGCACGGTCAGCCGCACACGCGCTGATTCCGCTGCAACCTATGTGCATCTCGCTTGTTCAGCCGAAGGCCGCGAGCACTGCCCGCTTTCAGAGGTGATGGCGTCGTCGAGCCAGGCAACAGCAGACGAGCAACTCGCGCGTGCCCGCGGGCAGACTACGAACCGTCGCGCTGTTGGCACCACCAACGCGCCAACTACTGCTACCGCGTCGATCGACGCGGCAATTTCTGCCCGGGTCGCAGAGCAGGAACGTCGTATCCACGAGCTCAACCAGACGATTGCTGGGCTCGAGGGGAATCGCGGCCCTGTCAGAAGCCCCCCTCGTCAGCGCGACCCGCATCGGGGCAGCCGCGCACGTGACGCACCGTTGGATGAGCCCGCACCAACGCGGCAGCGCACAGCCGCTGGCCGCGTCAGCGGGCGACAGGCAGAGGTATCTGGCGAGGCAAGGGCGCCGATGGTGGAAGCGGCGCTCGCCCGGGAGATTCGACGTGCGAACACAGGGGGTCGAGCAACACTTGGTCTGGTCAACTGGGCCGACCGACTACAGGAGTGCCACGTGTTCTTCCCGAATATGGACGATGGTTGGAAGGTGCGTGTGTGTTTGTTTAGGGAGCCTACATTCTAAACGTGAGTTACATATTGAAAGGCTATCTACGCTTATTCTCACCGGTTCCACGTCCTAACCCTTGTACTCGATTGCCATTGTATGCCAGGCAGCGGTCGAAGACCTGATCCAGATTCTCACTTACGACACGTCGGTCGCCCATCTCACTTTTTGGATGCCGCCCGCGCTGCTCGAGGGCCTCTTGGCGCGCGCGCTGCGGATCACTAGCCAGGCACACCGCACCATGCTCCATATGCTGCTTGCGCATGACGAGAAACGGGCGGGGTGGATTACTCGCCGAATGCAAGTCTGGCGCAACACTAAATGGGAGCAGGGACGGGCTTACGTGTACATCTTGCATGGTGTGCCATATAAGGCAGGCTGCAACCCCCGCATCTCGCTGCCTGCGACCCCGAGCGCAGTTGAGGTGCCACGGATCACGCGCAAGCAATGTCAAAATTAGAAGAAAGAAAGAGGATTGAACTAGCAAGAATGAGGATACAAATAGCAAACCCTAGAAGGGTTGTACTCGCTATAGAGCACCCCACTACAGGCTAGAACAATAAGATAATATTCTGACAAGCAATTCATAGAGCACCACCCTGCCGGTGAGTGATGGTGTTCATCAATACCTTGGCTGTATTCCATACGCGGCTTTTCCTTACTGCCGTGAGACGTGTGTGTGTATGGAGAAGCAGGCAATGGGACGTTCGAGCTGCACCCCTGGCATCGCAACGCGGCTGGCATCCCGTTTGCTACGGAGAAGTTTGAGCGCGCGATTTTCGCATCATTTCGGCGCCCTGTTCCGCCCCCGCTCCTTCTGCGCACATACCACGTCGCCTTTTGGCTGTTCGGCGTAAGACCAGGGAGTAGGCATTTTGACAAAGATGTGTTATGTAGCGTGTGTGCTAACGTATTGCACATTGGCGTGCGCAGGTTGAGTTTCCGCTTTTCAGCGGCGGGACTATGAAGCGCAGCGCACCCCAGAACGAGGAGGGTGTGCGCTGGTATCATGAGCGTGTCAAGCGCTGGATGCACAGCGTGATACTGCGCCGCTCCACCGAGCACGGGCCGTTCTGGGATTCCGAGCGACGCGGTTGGAGCTTTCGCCGCGACAGCCTCCTCCGCATATTGGAGGACGGAATGGAGCACCTGTCGCCAACGCTGCCTGCTGTCGCACCGGCCCCCATTCCGCCTGTAACCCTGTGCGCGGGGATAGCATAGGCTGAGGTGGCAGGTGGGCTTTTGAAATTCGCCCAGTCGTGCGACGGGTCGCAACGCCCGCAGCCAGCCCTGGCCCGCCAGACTGCAACGTTCGGAGTGTCCCGTGCGACCCGCCCGGGAGCGGCGGTGTGCCGTGTGTTAGATTGTCGCTGTCGTCTGTGTGTTTTTTGTCGCTCATGCTGTTATGGTTGCTGGTTGTGCTATTAATAATATAACAGTATAGTATTAATATAATGTGTCAGAATAATATATAAATCTATATATTGTTTTGTAACTGCCTGTAGTGTAGACTACTGTAGTTATATAATGTTCTGTTTTGGTGGTGCACCTTTCCTGATTCTTCCCTATTTGTACCCTCGCTCAATATTGAATCATCCTCTTTTTGGCAAACTCTCTCGACCACTTTTCTCTCGTCACTCTGGCCTAGGTCGAACCCTAGGCCTCAACTTCTATTCTTGATATGGTACAGAGCACGTCACATCCTGGCCTGCCTTATTTTTTAACTACGCCATGGGCCCACCGCGTATTCCTCGTTTCGTGGCTCCCGTCACGCCCTTAGTTGCGAATGACGTGATGGGCGCGACGACGAGCTGCCTACTATCGTGGCGACGAGTTGGGCGACTCGTTCTGCCCTGTTGCTCCGTCGCCCTGTCACCCGCCCCGCGCTACCCGCCCTCGTCCCGTTATGAGCTGCCACAGCCACACACAGCCGCGCGCAGCTGCGTACGGCCGAGTGCAGCTGCGCACAGCCGCGCGCAGCCGCGTATGGCCGCTCACTTGCCCCGCACCTGCTGCTCGTGCGCCAGTGCCAGGCGGGGGGAAGGGTGTGGGGTTGGCGCGTGGGTAACACTGCACCTGCCGTCGCTGTTCACCTTTTCCTCCCTCTCACTGCACCCGTGGGGGGAGGGGGAGTGTGAGAGGGTGGCGAGAGAGATTCTGCAATGCCAGCAGCCGCCCCTCCTCTCTCTCTCACTTCCGCTCGTGCTGCTGTGGGGGGGAGGGTGAGAGAGGGTGGCGGAAGACAGCCGGGTATCTGCTGCTGTCGCCCGTTGCTGCCGTAGCACCTCCAGCTGCCGCCCCTGCTACCACCTGCCTTTCCTACCTTTGCTTTTGCTACCTACTGTTGGGGCCTGCAGGTGCTGCCGTCGAGCCGCTGCTGTCCTGCTGCATGTTGCAGCCACAGAGCCTGCTCCTCAGGCGACCTGCCGCCCCAACACCTGCTAGTGTTTCTACCTTGGTCAAGGGGTTGGTACAGTTGGATCTGCCATCACTGCACCGGTTGCCACTGCACTTGCCTGTTACTGTGATTTCCGCTACGGCTTGTCTGGTGTACCCCATTATGGGGGCGTTGACTGCATATTCTCCCCTACAGGCACTTATGGGGGCGTGTCAGAATAATATATAAATCTATATATTGTTTTGTAACTGCCTGTAGTGTAGACTACTGTAGTTATATAATGTTCTGTTTTGGTGGTGCACCTTTCCTGATTCTTCCCTATTTGTACCCTCGCTCAATATTGAATCATCCTCTTTTTGGCAAACTCTCTCGACCACTTTTCTCTCGTCACTCTGGCCTAGGTCGAACCCTAGGCCTCAACTACTATTCTTGATATAATGTTATTATGAAGCGTGTTTTAAACGTCTTTTAGGCGACGCAGGTGCAATGCGTCGCCCTATAGCGCACCATTCTGCACCCATTCGAAGCGGATTGATCTCGTAAACCTGGCTTTGTCAGAATCCCAACCACTAGACCATTGGGATAAAAGGGCTTGTTTTAGTAGCGGGTCAGTGCGCCCATAACCCCCCAGGCAAACGCGCCTGTAACCCCCCCTAGGATCGATCGGGGATCTCACAGTGTAGCTCTACTGACACCCCCCCACACTGGGAGGCCCAGGACTGAGCACAGTGGCAACGGCCAACATGTGCATACACCGGGATTCGAACCCGAGACCGCTCTGATACCATGTCAGAATCCCAACCACTAGACCATTGGGATAAAAGGGCTTGTTTTAGTAGCGGGTCAGTGCGCCCATAACCCCCCAGGCAAACGCATCTGTAACCCCCCCTAGGATCGATCGGGGATCTCACAGTGTAGCTCTACTGACAGGCTTGTTACCCCGTAATATGTAACGGTTACAACGGTGTGGGATCAACCCTTTTTAGTCACCATTGCGGTGTTATCATGGTCGCATTTAGCCACATCAAAAACAAAACTGCTTTGTTTGAGCAAGGTGGTTACGTTAATTTAAGTGTATGGAACAGTGGTTATCCCTTAATCGGAAAATCCCGTACGGGGGACGCGCAATGTTCCGGGAGTGCTCCAGCAGTCTCTAGGGTTTGTCCCAGCTGGACGCATGCGCAGTCTGCCAACAATCCCGCCCCCTGTCAATGCATTGTCAATAATAGTGTTAGTTGTATGTTGCTGGTAGGTAGTTTCATGGAGTCCCTAAACAGTGGTTTAGGATTGTTTTGGCGCGGATTTGTTTGTAGAGTGGGACAGGAAATCACCGTGGATGGGACGGGAAATCACCGTGGATGGGACGGGAAATCACCGTGGATGGGACGGGAAATCACCGTGGATGGGACGGGAAATCTGGTACGACGAAAGACGAAAGAGCAGCCGCGGCTCTGACCGTGACGACGTTAGCAGTGCCAATCGCCTTGGGATTGCCGAGTGGTGGCAATGCAACGAGCGCCGTGCGATGACGACAGACTTGGAATATGGGCCCGTCATTGGCGAGTCGGCGCTGCCGCGACTGAGACGCGGATTCCGGTGTTGCAAGCGCGGCGCTATAGCAGCCGCAAGAGCGCTTCGCCTGTTCGTCTTGAAGTCGTCGAGCCGCTGAAAAGTACCAGGACAGACGTCTGGACGTCTGGGTAGTGAGAAGGAGCATATGTGCGAGGTAGCGACACACGCAACGAAATCGCGATGTACCATTTCCGTGGGACGAATGTGGAGGCGAGTGATCGCAAGGAAGCAGGACGGGAGATGGATTCTGGGGCTAGTTTATGGCGGGGATGGAAGTGCAATACGTACGCGGTAGCATCGCATCACTCTTGCTAGGATAAGACAGGTATTCAGAAATTAGGATATTCGTGAACTTGGGAAATTGGGTATAGACTAATGGAATCGTGTCAAGAAAACTAATAAAATTCTAGAGCCTGGTCATTCTGACCTTCCCCTTGGTGTTAATGTGGCACACTATAGCGAGAATTAACCCGTTACTAACTCCTTTTGAGTTAACTCGTTATTAACTCCTTCCACTTGTTGAGCCTTTTCGATCCAATCATTACTTACTAACTCCTTTTTCCCAAAAGGGCACTCCCCATGCTCGCACACTCTCCTAGCTCCATCTGCCACGCCGCCGCAACCTCTGCCTCCATTCGCGTCACAGCCACGCCTCCTTTAGTGAGCCGAACTGCGTCTTCACAGAATTTCCTAGCGCCGTCTTCCAATCAAGGACGCGCACCATGCTCCCACTCTATCCCAGATCCGTATGCCGCGTCGCTGCCGCTGCTGCCGCCTGATATTGAGACCGGGCGGGGGGAGAGTGGGGGGCCGGGGAGAGGAAAGGAGGGAGGAGGTTCTGAAGAACCTCAGCTATGAATACCCTGCAAGGTCAAGGTGTATGAATCTTTGTTGCTTCCACATTATCACAACCATCATAATCTTCCTAGTTAAGATAAACTTCACTCTCTCAGTCTCTCTAGCTACCCCCTTTTCACCCATTCGCCCGCACGCCGATCCACCCATTCACCCATGCACCCATTCATGCACCCATCTATTCACATATGCACCCATCCATTCACCCATGCACCCATCCATTCACCCAAGCACCCATCTATTCACCCACGCACTCAGCCATTCACCCATGCACCCATCCATTCACCCATGCACCCATCCATTCACCCTCGCACCCATCCAGTGAACCATGCACCCATCCACCCATAAACCATCCACCCATGTACTCAACTCCCCATCCAACCTTTCATGCACCTATCCCCGCTGCATCCATCCAAACGCCCATCCATCCACCCATGCAACCCATCCATATGCACGCACCTCCACACAGCAAAGAAACCGATGCCTGCAGCGGCAGCAGACAGCAGCAAGCAGCATCTCAGCAGCACCCCGCACTGGCGATCCAACTTCTGAAGCATTTTTGCTTTGCTGTCGGAGAAGCTGGAAGGAGGAAGGAGGGCAGGGGAGGGCGAAGGGAGGAGGAGACATAGGGGCTCCCAATTGCTCATTCAGATTTCAACACAGAGAAGCCTTGGTGTCAGAGAACCTGGGTGACTGGCAGAGAAGTGGAAAACGGCTAGGAGAGGAACTGAAGTTAGGTTGGCTTCAGGGAAGCTGGGGGACGGGCAGGGAAGTGGGGGAGGGGAGTGAAGTTAAGGGAAGTGGTTGATTGCACACTAGTGCTTTCCTCGTATGGCAATTCAGCTTGTGAAGCATGCCTGTGGAAAAGGGTAGAATGGCTGGGGCGAGCGCGAGAGGGAAGGGGGACGGGAGGGACGGTGGGTATGCAGGAGGAAAGAGGGGGGCAAAAGGGCGAGGAGAAAGAAGACGGGGTCATGGCCATGAGGGAAGCGAGAACAATCACTTCAAGCCACCACGAAAGAGATTAAACTATGTGGCAAGAAAGGTTACGTACAAAACTTAGGGAAAATTCGGATAGAAATTGAGTCAATTCAAAAATAACCTCATTGCGTACAGGAAGAAGGGAAGTTTTGGAGAAGCGACGATGGCGGGACGACCGTCAGATCCGAATTTCACATGGCCAACAGCTGTCAGCAGGTGATTGATCGGCAGCGCCCTCTCCTCCGTACGCAGGCCCGCCTGGGAAGGTGAATGTGTGTGTGGAGTGGTACTCGTTCAATAACTCATTCATTCATTCCTTCATTCCTTCATTCACTCACTCCCTCTCTCACTCACTTCCTCACTCGCTCGCTCACTCACTCACTCACTCACTCACTCACTCCATCAATCATTCACCCATTCACGAAAAGATGAATGAGGCGAGCGGCACCTTCTTGACTGTGCGCAGGTAGGCAGAGCCAAACTGGTGAGAGGAATCAGTAATGCCGTATGGAGATGAGCACGCAAGGTGGGTCTAGAAACGTACATAGCCAACCACATGCCAAACCTTCACTGGTTAGCCTAGCAAGCGACAGCAGCCCTGCCATCCAAGCCAAGGTGACTTTGGTCAACTCAAAAGTCAAAACAATAAACCAAGCACGCAACACCAAGTTCACCCCCACCCCAGGATGCGCTTTTTTTGACATGCATGGCTTAAAGCTGGATACTCACCGGCAGGCGTTTCCCTATAAGCACGTGCAGGGCAGCGTCGCCCAAAGAGGGGCTGGGCTTGTGCATGTGACTGTACACGGTGTGCAGAGGCAGGGGCTGTGTGGCGCCGACCAATGAGATGTCGACACGTGGCGCTAACGGGTGGGTGGTGTCCGCTAGAGAAAAAGGGACCTGTGGAGATGCAAGGTAGGGGAGAAGAAGAAAGTGAGTGAAAACGGAGCGGCAGATTGAATGGAGGGAATGGGTGGGAGCGGAGTAACATAGGAGCACAGAAAGTTACAGAACCAGCAATTTGTTCTCTCTCAATGCGAATGTGAACGGAGAAACTTCATTTTACATTCCGAACATCCCGGTATCCACAAATTTCTGAAACACCATGCATTCAATCTGCCACTCAGTTTTCTCTCACTTTCTTCCCTTCCTCTCCATTGCATCTCATCAAGTCTCTTTCTCTCTAACAAACAACACCCACCCATCAGCGCCACGCGTCAACATCTCATTGGTCGGCGCCACACAGCCTTTGCCTCTGCACACCGTGTACAGTCACACGCGCGGATCTGGGCTTGTGTGTGTGACTGTACACAGTGTGCAAAGGCAACGGCAATGCGGCGCCCACCAATGAGATGTCGACACGTGACGCTGATGGGTAAGTGGTGTCTGCTAGAGAGAAAGGGACACGTGGAGAGGCAAGGGAAGGGAGGGGAAGAAAGTGAGAGAAAACGGAGAGAAAACAAAATGGCGGACTGAAGGAAGGGGCGGGGTGGGAGCAGATTAATTGAGCAGCACAGTAAGTTATCAAACCAACCGTTTGTTTTTCCTCTAAATGCGTATGAGAGTGGGCAAATTCTTTTCCACATTCCGGACATTTCAAAACTTACAGATTTCTGGGAGCGAATGGTGTGTGTTGGTGTGGTGGTCACCCAGCCATACGGCAGATGCATTTCTGTTTGCAGGATCTGGGGCAGAGAGGAGGAGGAGGAAGACAATTGACATGGGGGGGTGGGGGGTGGGTGGTGGGGGGGGGGGGGAGTGGGGGTTAATGAGAAAAGGCCAGTCGAAAACCTGGTACTTACAGTAATGAGAAACCGTGAAGCGAAGTGAAAGGACGAAGAGAATTTAAAAATAGGAGGGGGAAGAAGGAGGTGGAAGAGCAGGGAACGGAGGCAAGGTGAAAGAGGGGGCAAGAGAACTGAGTGAAAAGGGATGGCACGTTGAGAGTGGGAAGGGGAAGAGGCGGAATGAACGAGAAGCGCGGGGAGAGACAGCAAGAAGCAGATGCAACTTCAAGGCAGAGGAGGGAGGGAGTGAGTCTAAGCGAATGGCCACTAGAAATGAAAAATGAAACGAAAAATGAAAGGAGAAAGGAAAGGAGGAAGGAACCAGGGTTAGCTTTAAGGCACCTCAAAACAAGGGAGTGGGGAGGGAGAAAGTCCAAGAAAATGGAAACCAAGAAACAGAAATGAAAGGAGAGGAAGGAACCAGGGAGCCTCTCGCTCGTACATAAACTGTACTGCATCCGTCCCTCTCCTAGGCACTGTCACTCTCCCTCTACCACTCACTCATTCTCTCCCTCTTCCACTCCCACTCAGGTTCTCCCTCTCCCACACTCACCGTCTCTGTCCTCTCCACGATGGCACACGGCTGCTTCACCCCGTGAACCGGCAGCAGTGGAAGGGGAGGCTTCCACCCAAGGCCGCCTGAATGGCTGCTAGTCTGACCGCGTGTCTGCACAAACACACTCACACCGTCGCCCACACTCACCATCTCTGTCCTCTCCTCGATGGCACACGGCTGCTTCACCCCGTTGTCTGGCAGCAGCGAGGGGGAGGCTTCCACCCAAGGCCGCCTGCTTGAGGCCGCCTGTTTGACCGTGTGCCTGCACGAACCCACTCACACTGTCTCCCATCCACACTCACCGTCTCTGTCCTTTCCAAGATAGCACATGGCTGCTTCACCCCGTTGTCTGGCAGCAGCGGCGGGAGAGGCTTCCACCCAAGGCCGCCTGCTTGACCGCCTGCCTGCACGAACCCCCGCACAGCCACCAACTCGCGCGAGCTCGTGCTGCCGCCGCCGCTGCTGCTGCTGCTGGAGCCGCCGCTGCTGCCTCTGGCGGCGTCGGGAGGCGCCTTCGAGCGACTGAGTTGAAGGATGGTCGTTTCGCGCACGGATCTGAGAGCGGAGCAGGAGCGAGTCGAGTCGATCAGCTGCCACCACGCAATACCGGCGGCACTCCCGACGGCCAACGCGCTCAAGATAACTTCCAGCTGCGCGCGAGCTTGCGGCGGCGGCGACCGTGACGGTGACGGCAGTGAGCTACTAGAAGCTCGGCGCGCCATGCCAGAATCCACGGGCGTCGATGGAAAGGAGCGTTGGCTTGTCGTTTTGTAGTAAGCGGTGACTTAAAGCAACGCTTACATTATTGGTGAGCGGCGACGACATGACAAGCGTTTCAATACTCGGTGAGATTCTTGAACCGCCTGTGCACGCGACTCTTGAATGAGTGCATCAGTTGAGTGCATCAGTAAGATGACTCCTTTGACTCGCTGAGTGTGAGAGCACTCACGAACTTCAAACGACCGACAATCGAGTCCCTCTACGCGTCAACTTCAAAATTCCGAACGATGGTGACATAGCGTCACGTAAAGAGTCACCCGTGAAATCATTTTCTTGACTCGTCGACTGTGAGAGCAGTCCAAGGCTTGACCCCGAGGGTGGTGATGACTTTGCGTCACTTAAAAGAATGCGTGGAACTGGAGGTCCTTGTACGACGAAAGAGCAGACGGTCAGAGGGTGATGACGTGAGCAGTGCCAGCAGCCTTGGGATTGCCGAGCGGTGGCAAAGCGGCGAGCGCAGTGCGATAGCGACATAATATTGGATCGCCATTGTCGCTGAAACTAACCGATGCCGGTTCCAAACGCGAGGCGCTATAGCGAGAGCGAGAGGAATCCACCGATTCCCTGTCCTCGGAACTTTCGTCAGGATGTTGATCGAAAAGAGCAAGCACAGGCAAATGACGCCTGGCAGCGACATACCTCATCCTCACGGCGACACGAGAAATGGTGAGGTGATGCACCTGTTCCCTGGGGGAGTGTCGTCACGTCACCTTGCACAACCCCCTATTATGTCGACTCGATTAAAGCGAAATGTACAGAATGAAATAAACAAATATATACTCGAATGCGTCATTCATCTGTTCCATGTACTTTGAAAGTTTTCATCGAGTGCACCTATGTTTACCAAAGAGTGCTGGTCATTGAGGACATGTAACAGGAAGTCACAACAACAAACATGTCTCATGCTACAAAACATATGCATCGCGCAAGCTTTAGTTAGCACCAGGGCCCACATTATCAATGTAAATCACCCTGATGCCCTGATTAGAAGGGTTATTTTTGGTAGTACCGTAACACTGATGCTGTTGGGTAAAATTTTCGGGACCTTGATTTACCCTGAACACTGTCGCCTCAGGGTTGCCGTTCCGCTTATCGAGGTTTACCCTGAAGCGCGTACCAGCGAACCCCCACCCCACCCCCCCCCCCCCCCCCCCCCCCCCCCCCCCCCGTCCCCTTACCACCCGACCCCGGAACCAGGATTTTCCCTTTGCCAACTGTCGAAAATGTAGATTTCGGCAGGACTTTACGTGTGCTGGAACGAGGTGGGCCACCATTGGCCAGAAATACAGTTTCATTCGAGGCAAGGAGAAAGTGCCGGAGCCAGAGGAGGACAGTGACCACGAGCAACAACCTTGTGGCATGTCTGATGATGATTGAGCTTGTTATTGTGTGCTGTGTTAAGAACAACTGAATCAGGGTTTTGCGAATTGGTACGCTGATGCCTCAGGGTAGTCGTTCTAATATATGCAAAAGCCCTGACGCATCAGGTTTTCCACAACGGGTAACCCTGAAAATCAGGTTTTTGAACAGGTGCTAGACTGATCGTAAGGGTTGGTCAAAACCAAAAATGAGCTCTGGTTAGCGCCTAGTATCCTACTTTGGGTTGGACTGAATTGGCTAGAAAGGCAGAGATGGAGAGGCAAGGCATAAAACTAGACGGACATGTGGGAGAAAGCAGGTCAGCAGCAGCACCATCTGCACATGTGCAATGGTTATGGTACCAACCAACATGCATCTCACACAGAACCTAACCCTAGTCCCCTTTGATAGGAAAGAAGCACATAGAAGGCCCACAGTAGAACATGCCTATGGCAAGGGCATGTCATGCCGCCATCCAGAAAGTCAAGCTTAGCAGCAGGACAAGCAATCAGCAGAAGAACATGCGAGTGGGCAACGGGCATTGCCTGAGCCAGATTAGGCAGCTCAGGCTCAGGAGGAGCAGGATTAGAACAAGCGAGCGGGCATGCTGTGAGTGGTTATTCTTGGGCCGAAAAAGCCCTTAGGATCTTTGCAGAGGTGAATTCTGGGTAGAGTTGATGTAGTAGCAGAAGCGTCTTAATAAGGAGTTTGTGAACCACCTTGCTCTAGTATGTGAGGGCAAAGTGAATTGATTAAAGCAAAGGGATACAAGATTATATATGAGTACAGAGAATATGAAGAGACACGGTTGTAACTACTTTACTGTTGCTGTTGCGGTTCGATACACTGACGACTCCGGCAACTGCTCTGTAACGAGTCAGTTGTGTGTCCTTGCTGTCGCGCTGCATTTGTCAGGTCAAAGGTCGCTGACCTTTGACTTTCGCGTAACCTCTAGCGTTTACGTCAACCTCCTGTCAGAATGTTATTCTTATGTTCTAGCCTGTAGTGGGGTGCTCTATAGCGAGTACAACCCTTCTAGGGTTTGCTATTTGTATCCCCATTTCTGCTAGTTCAACTCTCTTTTTTCTTCTCCTTCTTTTTGACATGCTATCAGAGCAGGTCGATCCCCTTGGATCGATCCTCTGGGTGGGCTCACCACCTCGTTGCTTCCGCTGCAACTGCTACTACTACTCTCTGTGCCGCACGCCCCGTGGCGTGCGGCATTTTTTCTTCCCGCCCTGCGCCCCGAGGTGCACGGCGGTTTTCTGCCCGCCGTGCGCCCCGAGGCGCGCGGCGGTTTTCTGCCCACCGCGCGCTCGGGGCGTGCGGCGGTTTTCTGCCCACCGTGCGCCTCGAGGCGCGCGACGGTTACCTGCTTTGCGCGGCGGTATTCTGCACGCCATGCGCTCGGGACGCGTGGCGGTTTTCTGCCCACCGCGCACCTTGGGCGCACGCGGCGGTTTCGCGTTCCGTCGACCCGCACGCCCGTCCCCGTCGACCTGCGTGCGGCTCCTCGTCGCCCTTCGCGGCGGCCCCGTCAACCCGCGCGCGGCTTCCGGTCGCCCTTCGTGGCGGCCCCGTCGACCCGCGCGCCGCCCCTGGGGACCCGTGCACCCGTCCCCGTCGACCCGCGCGTCACCCTGCGGCCCCCCTCCCCGCACACCTGAGTTCGATTACCGCACATCCGAGTTCGCTTCCCGTAAGCTTGTGCACGCTTCACGCACACCTGAGCTCGCTTACCGCACACTCAGGGTATGGGGGTGACGGGTATGGGGGTGATGGTTGTGGGGGTGTCGTTTGTGCGTGCCGTCCCCTTCTCCTCCTCCTTCGTCTCCCACTGCTGCAGCTGTCGCTGAGGGGGGTGGTTGTGTGGGAGACTCGGGTTTAGGGTTTAAGGGGGGTGCGTGGGAGTGGAGCTAGGAGCGTATCAGCGGGTGTGTGTTGGGGGAGTTGGATAGTTAGGGAAGCTGCATGGAGGTTGCCGTCGTGTCGTCAGCAGCACCTGTATTCCGGGGGCTTCGCCCGGTAGCCCAGTCGTAGCCAGCTGTGCCAGCCGCCCGTGGGTCCGTTGCTCGTCTGCCGCTACTTTAGCCGCGGGGCCAGTTACTCCAGTATTCCGGGGGCTTCGCCCGGTAGCCGCTGTGCCAGTGTGCCTCCTGTTGCCCGAGTGTCTGCAGCTTCAGCCGTCGCCTCCCAACTCCTC